GTAGGGTCCTCTTTTGGCCTGTGTGGCTTCTTATTCAAGTATAGAGGCATGTGTCTGGCCGGGTGCAGTGGCTCATGCCTGTAATCCCAGCACCTTGAGAGGCTGAGGCAGGTAGATCATGAGGTCAGGAGTTTGAGACCAGCCTGGCCAATACTGTGAAACCCCGTCTCTACTAAAAATACAAAAATTAGCCAGGTTGCAGGTGCCTGTAATCCCAGTTACTTTGGAGTCTGAGGTAGGAGAATCACCTGAACCCAGGAGGCGGTGGTTGCTGTGAGCCGAGACAGCGCCATTGCACTCCAGCCTGGGCAACAGAGTGAGACTGTGTTTTTTTTTTAAAAAAAAAAAAAAGAAAGAAAGAAAGCAACCAAGTGCCTGTGTGCATTTGTTTTGGCCCACTGCTCTTTATCCCACTCAGCTGAGAGTCCTGGAGGATGGTTCCAAGGCCACCTGAGGCATTAACCTGTCACTTGACTGCAGACGGAGCTCATAGTTGAGCCACTGTCTTTCTTTTGCAAGTCTCTTATCCCATTTGAAGTTCATTTAATAAGTTCACAAAATAATTTTCATGGTGGTAGCATGTCCAATAAAACCATCACGAGTAAAATCTGATGAAGGTTTTAAACGCTTGGCTGTAACATACCTGTTAAAAGTGTGGCTGTGTCGAGCAGTCTTCTCTGCTTCTCAGTGCTAATGCGAACCTCTCAGCTGCAGCAAACACAGCCCTTTCATTGCTTTTGCTTCTGTTTCCATCTTCCTGAGATGCCTCTCCCTGCTCCCACATTAACCAATGACTTGTTTCAGCTCATCCAAATTCATAAACTCATGCTGAATCCCTCATCTTCAGAGGTCTAAGTTTCTCTCTTGGGCCAGGAAGCACTGATCTTATTTTGTCTTATATTGCAGTGACTTCTTTGTCTAATACACAGCAACTCCCTGTCCTCACAATTGCATTAACCCATAAGCTGTTTCCCATGGCATGGATTTTCACCAGTTTCTGCAGAGCACCCATCACTCAGTGGACACAAAGTCAGTGTTCGTTAAATTGAAGAGACAGGCTCTGCCCAAGCCCTGGGGAATTAACCCGTAATCGAGCCTCTGTTGTTCACCAGCCCACTCTACGGGTACAGATGTTCCAAGTATAAAGAAAATGGGAGTGCTAGTCTCTGTTCTCGGGTGCAATCTAATTGGGGTGGTGTAAACATAGACAAGACACATGCTACACTGAGAAGCAATCCTTCAGTGTAGAAACCTTTTGCAAAAGCAAAAATGCTTTTGCTTGATTTAACATTGTCATTAACTTCTGCAAGCCCCTTCATCTCCTTTATTTATCCTTTTTTCCAAGCCTACCTCCTGTTTTCCAAATCTGCCCTCTCCTCGTCATTCCCATGGCCACTGCACTGGCCTACCTTGTCATCGCTTCATATCTGAACCCCTGCAGTAGTGTCTGTATCAGTCTTTTCTATCCTGAACACTGACATTTTCCAATATCCACCGGAAACAGCAAGGCCCATTCCAGTTTGAAGCTCTCAGGTAATTGACTCTACCTCATTCTTTGTGGGACAGAATCACTGCCTGACGCCAGCTCCTCCTGGTTACAGTCAAGGCCTTCTCTGCTCTGATTCCACATTTTCTGGCCAACTTCAGCTCCCTACGTTCAAATCATTTGTATCAGTTCATTAAATAAATCAGCTGACATTTATTGGTCTTGATGATTATCAACTGGGGAAGGACAGTCATTCCTTGGTATAATAGCACCACTGTCTGCTTTTTCATCACAAAATGAATTTAAAACTCGGTGCCCTTTTCCTTTCCAGTGTCAAGTGACTTATTTGCCCCAGTTTTTAGGGTGTTGTGAAGCTGATGAAGTAAAGAAACCACACAGGTCCCTCGGACAAAATGGAGGGATGACAAGGAAAGCAGACCAAATATAATCATAAAATTGGCCGGGCTTCTGCCCTCCCTTTAGTGGGAAATGCTTAAGGTTTCTTGGTCTAAATCTTTTTTCCCCTGAAGATACGGCTCCCTTTGCCATTTGTAGCTGGGCGTGTGTTTGACAGGCAAGGTTGCCTTGGGTCTGGAGAGGTGATTCAATCTACAGCACATGCTGCTTCTCTTATATTGGCTTGGTGGCTTTCTAAGAAAGTGAACATAATGCCTTACTTTATTCTTGATACTCTTTTTTTTTTTCCCAAGACAGAGTCTTGCTCTGTCACCCAGGCTGGAGTGCAGTGGTGCAATCTCAGCTCATTGCAACATCCACCTCCCAGGTTCAAGCAATTCTCCTGCCTCAGTAACTGGGATTACAGGCACCTGCCACCACACCTGGCTAATTTTTTTATTTTTATTTTTAGTAGAGACAGGGTTTAACCATGTTGGCCAGGGTGGTCTTGAACTCCTGACCTCATGATCTGCCCACTTCTGCCTCCCAAAGTGCTGGGATAACTGGCATGAGCCACCACACCCAGCTCCTTGATACTCTTCAACTTTATTTCTCTCTCAAACTTTAAGTGCCCAAATGAAATTTTAGAAAATAACCAATTCATAGCACGATAAATTATAGAGTAATTTTTGTTTTAGTTCATAAAATCTAACTGAAAGGTAGGGATATTCATCTTCCTAATTGAAAGAGTTAACTCAATTCTAAAGTTGTATGATTACCTAGCCTAGTGAAAAGACTAAAGTTTGGTGATACAGCTGTACCTAGTAGAACTGAGGATGTATCTGAGACTGACCACATTTACCTAACACGGGCCTTTCTGTGGGCTCAGCCAGCTGATGGATTCTCAGCTGGAGTAGTCAAGGGAGGCTTACCTGAGGCAGTGATGGTTGAACTGAACTCTGAAAAACGAGTTAAGGTTAACAGGGCAAAGGTGGGAAAAGAATTGTCTTTGTTCAACAGACTTGAGAGTATAAGGGCCCTGATGTAGGAAAATGTGTGGAACTTGCCTCCAAAGACTGAAGAAAGTCAGATAACTGGAATCAGAGTGGGGGGAAGGGTGGCGCAGCCAGCATGTGTCTGCAGAGGTGCGCGGGGCCGGGATTACCTGGAACATTTGGATCCAAATATTTAACCTCCAAAGAATGTACAAACAGCCAATAAGCATAGGAAAAGATGCTCAATATCATTTCCGGGAAATGCAAATCAAAACCACAGTGAGACACCACTCACCCACTGAGATGACTACAGTAAAAAAGAAAGATCATAACAAGTGTCAACAGAATGTGGAGAAATGAGAACCCTCATATGTTCTTGCAGGGAATGGGAAGGGGCAGGGCCACACTGGAAGCGAGTGGCAAACAGTTCAACAGAATTACCGATTGACCTGCCGTTCCACTCCTACGTACATATCCAAAATAAATGAAAACAACAACAAAAGCTTATCTGGGATGTCCAGATGTGCACGGATGCTCAGAGCAGCATTACTCCTAAAAGCCCAAAACTGAAAATGACCCAAAAGTCCAAGTGATAGAGAAAAAAATGTGGCATACCCATATGTACGAGTTTCTAGGGCTGCAGCAGCAAAGTGAACCTCAACCTACACAACAGAAATGTGTTGTCTCACAACTCTGGAGGCCAGAAGTCTGAGGTCAAGGCATTGGGGTGGTTGGTTCCTTCTGAGGGCTACAGAGAAAGGAGCTGTTCCACGCCTCTTTCCTTGACTTGTAAATCCCTGTTGTTTTGTTCGAATGGCGTTCTTCCTGTATGCATCACTGTGTTGAAATTATCTCTATAAGGACAGCAGTCACTGGATTAGGACCTGCCCTATTTAACTCATTTTAGCTTGATTATCTTGAAAGATCCCACCATCAAATAAGGTCACATTTTGAGGTGACTGAGGTTAGAACATCAACATATGAATTTCTGGAGGACACAATTCAACTCATAACACTGTACAGTGGAATATTATCCAGCCATAAAAGGGGATGAAGTACACTACAACATGGCTAAACCCTGGAGATATTATAAGTGAAAAAAGCCAGACATGAAAGGCCACATGTGTAATTCCCTTTATGTGGGATGTCCAGAATAGGCAAAGCTATCAAGGCAGCAAGGAGACTGCTGGTTACCTAGGCCTGGGAGTGTTGTGCATGATAAAGGAAACAGGAATTGGAAGGGTGGGGGTGAAAATGTTCTAAAGTTCATTTTGTGATGGATGCGAAAAACCATTGAGTTGTGTACTTTAAACTGTATGGTATGTGAATTATATATCAACAAAACTGTTAAAGGGGGAAAAGTTATAACAGAAAAAAACTTTCAGAGATTATTGATCAGAAAAAAGTCTGTTTTCCTGTTTTTTAATTATTTTTTTATGTTTTAGACAAAGTCTCACTCTGTTGCCAGGCTGAAGTACACTGGCACGATCTCAGCTCACTGCAACCTCCGCCTCCTGGGTTCAAGCAATTCTTCTGCCTCAGCCTCCCAAGTAACTGGGACTATAGGCATGTGCCACCACGCCCAGCAAGTTTTTGTATTTTTAGTAGAAACAAGGTTTCACTATATTGGCCAGGCTGGTCTCGAACTCCTGACCTAGTGATCCACCTGCCTCAGCCTCCCAAAGTGCTGGGATTACAGGCATGAGCCACCGTGCCCTGCCAAATCTAAGTGTTTTCTTTAAAAATTTGAGCTGAGACATGTCTGGGCCCCTGGGCCCTCCATTCTCAGATTTGCTGGCACTGCAGGCTTTCACACACTTGATTTGTTCCATGGTGAGGTTTGTACAGAGTGCAACATATTTTTGGACAGATGAGTAGCAACTTTGTTGCTCTAATTTGTTTTTCTCACATGGTTTTTGAGAGAAGGGCCCACTAGTAATCTTGTTGCCAGCTGGAAACATTAATTATACTTAAGTGTCTGGAAAATTAAGTTTTTTTTTTTCCTCAAGATAATTTTGTCCAGGTTTGATAGCAGGTCATTTTTCTGGGGATTCCATGCTCCTTGTGACAGAAGGGAACCCAACCACACCCTCTGCCCCAAGGATGTGTTAAGTGACACCAGCCTGACTTTTCTGCTTTAATATTGAATAAAAAAGAAGCTGAGCTATGGTTTTGTAAGAGGCAACCAAAATGGAGACGAGAATGAGATTGTGCAAGGATGGTTCTGCCCTAAACTATCTGAGAAAGGGAGAGAAATGCTCCCACCAGCAGGCACGGCGTCTATTGGAATAAACGGGAAGGTTCGTTTTGTGCTGAGTGCAGTCTGGGAATGAATAGGAATTCTCACGAAAGGCTGTGAGACAGAGAGAGACACCTAGGGCCAGAGCTGGGCAGAGCCTATCCCGATTTAACTAGGGGTAGGAGGTGTTCAGAAGCATAGGGAGGCTTTTGTCAACTAAGGAACAGTGCTGATGTGGCAAGAAGGGGAACAGGGCAGGGTATGGAGCCCAGAGGGAAGCCAAAGGTGATCCCCGACTGCAGGCGGAGTAGAGAGTGGGCGGACAATCGCAGCCCTGTCAAGGCCAAGGGTATGTGGAGGGGCCTGTGGTTCTGTAGTCTCCCACTGTCTACCTAGGAGGTGGCTGTAGCCTAGCCCTGGGGGTGGGGAGAGGAACTTTAGGGGAGCTTCTCCAGAGAGGCCAGGAGAGGAAGGGGCTTCAGGAGCAAGATAAGGCAGCAGCGCCGGCCCTTGGGGTTGGCCTGTCCTCATCTTCCCTCTGTTCACTTTCCCATCTTCATGTTTGTAATGCAGTTAATTTGGAAACTTGTATCCTCTTTTAGTTGAACTAAAGGCATCAAAGGAAGGAGGTATAGCTTGGTAAACATTGAGGCTGCCATTCTACAGGACAGCTGGGCGTGAAGGGAGCACGGCCTGAAATGAGAAAGTGAGAGAGGAGAAACTCAGTAGGGGTGGCTTGCAGAGCAGTTCCCCCCAAAGAGATTCTGCAGCCAGATACAACCTTCCTATCATCAAGCACAGAAAACTGAGGCTGGAGTCATTCTTTACCAACAAACCTTGTTGTATGAACTCATCTTCCTGAACACCTCTCTACCCAATTAACTCCCTAGCCCAACCCTCTTTGCCTTTCCTCATTTTCACAAATTACTATGCTTTGTCCAATTCAGTACGTAAGTAACAGCCTCTCGGCTTTTCCAGGTCTTCATTTCCGTATGAGGGCTTCTGTGCCACATAAAACTTGTACTAAGTGAATTTGTGTGTTTTTCTCCTGTTCATCTATCTTATATCAATTTAATTCTTGAGCCCAGCCAGGGGCCCAAGGGGATGGAGGTGCAGTTCCACCTCCCCTACAGTTTCTGGTGACAAGAGAGGGACCCTAAAAGGCAGGGATGCCCACTAGCTCTGCAGCCTGGAGATGGGACTGGGGAGACCTGACAAAAGATGGCAGAAAGTAGGAAATCTTACCTAGTCAGCTCTTAGATCTCTGTCCATAGTGGCCAGTCAAGAAAGGGAGGTAAACATGGTTTTTTGTCTTCTTTCCAATTCAGATTGGTAGGAGAAAACATTTATGAGACTTAATTCTTCGAACTGTGACTCTTGTGAATTTGGTTCTGAGTACCCACTGGTTTTTAATCACAGCCTCCCAGGAGTGGTCCTTGTTTTCCTTGTCTCTGTCTTTTGCGTAGTTTGTCATAAGGAGGAAAATCATAAGATTTTGCTTTCATCTTGTTTTATGTCTTGAGAGCTTGTCTTGGGGACCAGTGAGGATATTCTCTGGTCTTTGCTAAGAGAAATCACAGGTCGTCAGGCTTGCTTGAGGCGGCTAGCCAGCTGGCTAGGAATCCAGAAACAAAGTTTATCTCTTTGTCCCACTGTGCCAGCTCTTTGGGGAGTTTGTCCTAATTGTGCCAACTTTATTGCCTTGTTTAAAAAGGTCTGGTCATTCTAAGGCTATCGCCGGAGCAATCTCAGTGAGGAGGGGACACTGTGTTTTTGCACCCTCTTTTGGAGGCACTTCTTGAGCCCATGGTTAAGCCATAAAAGGCTTTTTGGTTTTAAGCCATGAAAAGGCTTGTTGGTTTTTAGTCACAATTGAAATAGGTATACTTTTGAAAATTTGGACTTTTGTGTCTAAAGGGGTTTTTGTTGTTGTTGCTGTTGTTAGTTTTGGTTTTTTGAGAGATGGAATCTCGCTCTTTTGCCCAGGCTGGAGTAGAGAGGCATGATCTCCGTACTGCAACCTCGGCCTCCCAGGTTCAAGCTATTCTCCTGCCTCTGTGTCCCAGGTAGCGGGGATTCCAGGTGTGGGTCACCACAGCCAACGAATTTTTGTATTTTTTAGTAGAGATGGGGTTTCACTATATGTTATTCCTGGCTGGTCTCGAACTGCTGACTTCAGGTGATCCGCCCACCTCGGCCTCCCAAAGTGCTGGGATTATAGGCGTGAGTCAGCTCGCAGCCAGTTGTTTGTTTTTAAAGAGTGCCCTCATCCTCAACCGTCCTATTAGGTACTTAAGGGAAAATCAAATTAAACGGCACAAAATAATATAATGGCTACCCCTAGCGATTCCCTTCGCAAGATTAAAGAACACAGACTTAGAACAAAAGTTCAGTCCACACCGCTATAAATTTTCCTTGGCTGGTGAGACTGCTAAAGGCACTTACGTCACCAAAGCCCGGGACCTAGCGGGCGGCCCCAGTGCGGAGGCTGCAGCGCATGCTGACCAGGAAGGCTCGGAGCATCTGAGGGCCATGAAAGAGCCTCCGCCCCCACGCAGGAGGTCCCCGAGGCAGATCTGGAACTCCGCCCAGCCCTCAGAGTGGCAGTGCACTGGCGACCTAACTAACCCCCAGCTCCAGGAGCAGGGGAACCCTGTGGCACTCAGCTCCCGGGCGCCCGGATTCTGACAAAGGGAGGCTGCCGCACTCTGCTAGGCTTCCTGTGTTTGATGGACTCAGATCTAGACCCAACCAACCAGAGAGGAGAAAGAAAACGGATTCAGAGACAGGAAATACAACCGGCTAAAAGCCGCGTTTCATAACCGCGTCCCAGCGAGGGACGGGAAGGCGCAGATGCGAGGCCCGCGCGGCTGAGTCGCGTCATCTTGCTCTTCCTGTGTTATGGGGCCAAGGAAGAAGCACCGTCCTGCTGTCCCGGGGCGCCCACTGCCCGGAGGCGCCTGCCCGCCACAGCCCCTCTCCTCCGAGTTTCCCAGCGGGAGCCATAGGGCAAGGGCACGGCCTCGCCGCTCCACCGCTCGCTTAAGCGCGTAATAAATCCTCGTCAGACTCCGCTCCGGGCTGGGAGGGCTGCGGTGGCCCTGGCGCAGCAAGCTGGCTCCAGCCGGGGTGGCGGTTCGCGCCCACGCACGTCCAGCCGGGGTCACCACGGGAAGCGCTGCATCCATCACCTGCCTCGGGTCCTCCCAGCGCCCAGCGAATCCGCTGCCCAGTGACAGGAAGGATCGTACGGGGTGTGGGGAAGGACACACACAGCACCCTGGAAAACAAACCTCACGTACGCGGAGGGCACCAGGACCCTCTAGCAACGACTCGCCTCAGGTTGCTGCAGAAGCTGCAGAAGGTACATCTAGCCCTGTCTGCGTGGGATCCTTGGGCGGAAGGGAACATCTATCATTTCAACCCGAGGAAATCCAAGCGCTCCTGCGAACACCGCCGGCCCCAACAGCAATGAATCCATCCATCCCAGATACGCCACCAGCGTCCGGACGGTTCTGTCCCCACAGGCCTTACCACTTGGCTCGCAGTGTTGACGCTGGACTGTCCAAAGGCTTTTGGCAAAGTTGCTTCCCAAGCGTGCTTACTGTGGAAGGGCGAACAGCCACCAAGACACCAACTGCAACACAAGTACATAGGAGGTTAACAGCCACATTTCTTTTCTGAATTAAAGATAAAAGTGACAGTTTCAGGAAGATGATGCTTATTATTAGAAACTCCTAACTTTTCCCCACTTTTACCGTTTTAGATCCATGGCTCAATACCTTCATTAAGATTGTCTTTTTTTCTTTTTTGAGACGGAGTCTAGCTCTGTCGCCCAGGCTGGAGTGCAGTGGGGCGATTTCGGCTCACTGCAACCTCTGCCTCCTGGGTTCAAGCAATTCTCCTGCCTCAGTCTCCCAAGTAGCTGGGATCACAGGCGTCCGCCACCACACCCGGCTAACTTTTGTATTTTCAGTAGAGATGAGATTTCACTATATTGACTAGGCTGGTCTCGAACTCCTGGCTTGTCATTTTTTTAAAAAGGGGATAGGGGCTGCATTGGCAGGACTCACTTGTTCCTTCCCATAGGTCTGGTTCATTCCTCCCTGGGCACTTCCTGGCTGGGACTAGGGCAACCCGGCATATCACCGACTGCTCTGAGCCCCTCTGAGAATGTCTACTATAGAGAGTGCTGGTGGAACCATGCGATCCAGAAATAATAGCTCTGAAAAGTCTATGTATCTATGATAATTGCAGAATAGAATTTTAACATTGGAATCAACTTTTACCCCAACATTTCACTATATAGTTGCAAAACTAGTTCAGAAATTTTAATGATCCACTTTTCCTTCAGAAGAAGAATTACATTTCCATTTCCAGAAAGAATGCCTTGTGAGGAAGCTGCCACCTCTTTAAACACACAGATCACAAAGCAAGTGGGAAAACAGATCTCCACAGATACACAAATATTTATTCCTTCAACAAATGGAAGGATGCTGAGTGTTCTGTGTACCCGGCACTATTCTTCGTCCTGGGGACACAACGATGAATCAAAATCAGGAAATAGTGTATTCTACATAATAAATAATAAAATGAAGTAGAAATGATAAAATGTTTTAAATGGCATTAGAGGGCAGAGAGGAAATAAACAAGGAAATCTGTAAAATAGGTGGTGGCACCTTGGAAAATGAGGCAGGAGGCAGGGTGGCTGGGAAAAGCCCTGGAAGGGGATGTGTGGGTGGAACGCAGGAGGAGGTGAGCAGCAGGCACAGCCCAAGAAGCCAGTGAAGCTGGGAAATGCCTGACACCCTCAGGTGGAGAACAAGGTAGACTGAAGAACAAGATAGATTTTCACGTCGTTACACCACCAGGAAAGGAGACCTGTCAAGCTTCCGAACCACTCTGATCTCTCCACAAAAGACCAGCCTTGACAGGGTGAGGTGGCTCATGCCTGTAATCCCAACACTTTGGGAGGTAAGGATGGGTGGATCAACCTGAGGTCAGGAGATTGAGACCAGCCCTGCCAACATGGTGAAACCCCATCTCTGCTAAAAATACAAAAATTAGCTGGGCGTGGTGGCGGGTGCCTGCAATCCCAGCTACTTTCAGGAGGCTAATGCAGGAGAATTGCTTGAACTCAGGAGACAGAGGTTGCAGTGAGCTGAGATAGCACCATTGCACTCTAGCCTGGGCAACAAGAGCAAAACTCCATCTCAAAAAACAAACAAACAAAAACCAGCCTTTTCCAGGACTGTCTGCCTGTTGCTGAGGGGGAGGATGGGGCTCATGGCTTTCTCCCACAAGGGTTAATACGAGGACAACATTTTCCTTCATTTCCACCAATTTAGTATCATAATAACTTCCAAATAATAAGACATTCAAATATATTATCTTCAGTTTAGCTCAATTTGAAGTTTCATATTGGGGCCCTTTACAAGCCATGCATTTTAAAGAAGTCTATTGCTTTTTATGCATTTTTAAACAATAGCCTTCTTTAAAATGCACTGAATAATGAATTTTGCTGCTACACAGGAACACAGAATAATTTCTCTTAATAACCTCAGTTGTATGAACCTGACATGTTTTCAGAAAAAAATAATAATAACCTCAGTTGACCAAGACAGATAGGAAGTTGCTAGAAAGATATTCACCTTTTAATTCAACTAAGTAAATACCAACATTTTTACTATCGAATACCAAAACATATTTAAATTATTTTCTATAACTAAAATAAGATTATATTCTGTAACTAAATTAAGATTATCTGCTTTGGGATTTTATTTTCTTCCAAAAGATAAAGATCTGTATTTTAAGAAAAACAAGTATTTACTTTTTAATTGTTTTATATATATGAAAGACTTTTATTTTAGAACACTCAATTGACAAAGATTGCATATATTTAAGGTATACAACATGATGATATACATTTAAACATATATATTGTGTAACTGTTACGGTACAGGGGTCCAGATGCAGACCCCAAGAGAGGGTTCTTGGATTTGCAGCAAGAAAGAATTCAGGGCGAGTCCGCAGTGCAAAGTAAGAGCAAGTTTATCAAGCACGTAAAATGGTGAAAGGGCAGCTACTCCATAGACAGAGTAGGGTCTCCCTGAAAGTGAGAGGAGGAACGCCTGAACCCTGGGTACAATGCTGGAGTAAACGTAGGATAAAAATAGATCTCCGGCCGGGCGAAGTGGCTCAAGCCTGTAATCCCAGCACTTTGGGAGGCCGAGGTGGGTGGATCATGAGGTCAAGAGATCGAGACCATCCTGGTCAACATGGTGAAACCCTGTCTCTACTAAAAATACAAAAAATTAGCTGGGCATGGTGGCACGTGCCTATAATCCCAGCTACTCAGGAAGCTGAGGCAGGAGAATTGCCTGAACCCAGGAGGCGGAGGTTGCGGTGAGCCGAGATTGCACCATTGCACTCCAGCCTGGGTAACAAGAGCGAAACTCCGTCTCAAAAAAAAAAAAAAAAATAGATCTGCTACAAGGGTTTGTAATAAAGGATTAATTTTCTTAATTACTGTCTTTTGCAGGAATCATTATTATTATTTTTAAGGCAAAATTAAGAATGCCTTTGTTCTCCAGCTATCCGGAGATCTGGACACTCCCAAGTCTGGGTCTGTTTTAGTAAACATTACTAATCTGTTCCCTTTACCATAAACATCTAGAGGCTAGGAATCCCTGATTTTCTGGGAATGCAGCCCAGAAAAAAAGTAAGTCTCAGTCTTACTTTTCTAGCCCTCACTCAAAATGGAGTCACTCTGCTTCAAAAGCCACTGACACCATGATTACTAGTGAACCACATTTTAAAAAACAAAAATAAAGTTACTTTGCAGTGAGCAATTTAAAATACAGTTAGTCAAATAAACCACATGATTCAGACTCATGTACAGATGAGTAAATAGTAAGTTTCCAACGATACTTAACTGATGAATAAAAAAGAAATATAACCTTTTTTTCAGTTTGCAGATGACCTTTTCATTCAATGAATTTGAAGAAGAAAACAGAACCGTTTGAGTTCACAGAAGCTTGTGGAGTCATCAGTGTCAACATCAGCAGCTCAGGCAGTTCTTACCATGACACTGTCGTACTTCAAAACGTATTTTTGTTGTTGTTTTGAGACAGGGTCTGGCTGTGTCACTCAGGCTGGAGT